GATGTTGGACTATTACTACTATTTTTTTGCTTGTTACTATTTTTACTCATCATTTAAATTTAATTATTCCAATAAAATAGTATAGTGAAAAGAAATCACATTCTCAGAAATTAGGCCATCGCAGGTGGGATTCGAACCCACGACCTTTCGATTAGAAGTCGAATGCGCTATCCATTGTGCTACAGCGATACAACGAACGACTTTCCTTTTTATATGGTGTTGGACTACATCTTTGTTTATTACTATTTATTCATTAATTAGGTTTAATTAATGAATTAATATTTGAAAAAACTGTATTAACATCAAGTGTCACATCCACTGCAAATTTTAAAAAAGATGTATTTAGACTTAAGTGGATGAATAGAAAGTATTTTATTAGCGATTAAAAATTTGAACAAGATATATAAATAAATATATATAGGGAGAGTGTGAACTAATAGAGCCAGTTTCACATGAAATGAGAACTAAAAAGATGTTTTAACATACTGTTCATAGTCTTTTCATTTGTTTTGTTGTTATGTGTATGGATTCCGTTACATAGAACAACATCTTCAAATGCCACGCAAAAGATATATATAATGTAGTTATTTTATTTTTGAAAGAAATAAAGCACGAAAAAATATGCGTGTTGCTTTCCAGTGCTGAACAAATTACAATAACACTTTTCTTGTAAATTGTATTTTTCTTTGCAAAGATTATAAGTTAAATATGTGTAGAAACAATGAATACTGTCGGCCTTTGAAAGTGTAACTTAAAGGAAAAGGGGGAAGAGGTACAATCACCAAATGTGCACAAAAGGAAGAAATGCTATGATTTGCAAATGATTAGTATTTAAGCGCAATCGAACGACGCAGGTGGGAGAAACAGCATCTCAAACTGTGCATGAGAAAAAAAGTTACGTTGTGGGTTTCTCACATGGAAATTACATTTAAATAATTATTATTTGTGAGAAAATCTTGGTATGTCTCGTATAAGAAGGAGAAACGGTTACCAGCATGTGTCAGGATTAAACTACGGCATCGTGATCTATCGAGAATGTGGTTTATCGTCCCATTATATTGCTGCGCGCAATGGTCGGAATCCAATGACAGTCAATTGAATATGAAACTGTTGGATTTAAGACAGTCATACTGAATGCCATGCAGGATCTCATTGACCTCTGTCCAGTAACAACCAATGCTGTCAGGTCAGCCTTGTAGGATAATACGGCCAAAAGCTGCAGTTGTGTTTATTAATTTTGGACTCTGTATGTCTTAAATTGCCTACAAATTTAATCGTATTAAAGCATCTACTTAGTATGCAGTGTACGTACAATAAATAAAGATTTGCTGTTTGCTTTCTTTCATGGTATTGCAATTTTAAATGCCGGTAGTGTAATTGGATATTGATCGAGAAACTGTAAAAATATCTAGATTAAATAAAAATAAATTTTCGCTCTACATTTTGCGAAGTTTTTCTCCATTTACCTCAATATTAAGTGAAACACTGAATACGCTTGTAACGATATCATCTACGTAAGCCAGTAACAGCCTCCAGACAAGGGAGATAATTTTGGTCTAGTGATATGTTACGTGCTTACGAATCAGAAGGTGCAGAGTTCTATCCTCCACATTGGTGACCTTGACGCTGAACTAAGAAAAACGCAACCTTCGCGCAGCTGTCGTGATGCCATCTACCCGCCGCAAGAACAATTAAAAAGCCGCCAGTCTCGCTTGATGCAACAGCTATATCGTTCATTTTGGTCGAGTAGTATGTTACGTGTTTATGAATCACTCACTCACACACTCACTCACACTACAGAGTTCTGTCATCCACACGCTGTAACTTTCAGTTTATATAATAATATGAAAGGTAATTGATTTTTGAACAATTTAAAAATAAGTAAAAAATATGTACGTAGATAAAGAAAAATCACATGAAATGAATTTACCTGAGAGTAGCATGGGATCGTGATCTTCTCCCTTTTTGACATGATCTGATTCTCCCGTTAGTGAACTTTCGTCCACTTTCAAGTCGTTGCTTTGGATGACGATGCCGTCCGCTGGTAGAAGGTCACCTGTCGAAATGTTCCGTTGGAGATATAAGATATTTGGCAACGCAAATATATTGCTGTATAATTCTGTGTATTATAATACATTCAAAAGAGTATATTATAAGTATTTCAGATACTATATCATTACAAATATGTTTTTCTTTTTTTAGCAATGATTTATCTATTACCTTTGAGAACTAGCACGAGTATTGCTTTAATTTCCCAAAAAATAACGAGTGGACGAGAGACGACATTTCTTGAAAATTCTCATACAGTGCTTCAAAACAGTTGTACGTGACACAAACATCCAAATCACATTTTTAGAGCTATATTCTATTGCAATATTTGTATTTAATATGAAATCGATACAGGCTATCTTTAACCCTTTCGTGGGCCTTGGGAAGATTACTTCCCATCTAGATGATCATACAAAATACACCTGTGGAAAGCGCAAAACCCATTATAATATATTGGTCTTGCTATTTATTATAACGATGAGAAGGCCGATTTCCATTTCAATTTTGTGCTTCTGCACATAATTAAGCGGTTATGACATCTGTAAATCAGGCAAAAAAAGATGGTACTAAAGAAGAAGTATCTTGTCCAAAAGCTGTCGATGTATATAACGATGTCATGGGAGGGGTTAATTACTTGGATCAAAGAAAAGAAAGATACCAAATAGGAAGAAGATATGTAAATCGTATCTTATTTTCTTACTGACCTTACCATCATAAATAATTTCATACTGTGGCAAGTGAAGAAAAGACACAGAAGTTTAGACCAGCTAACATTCCGTATAGCATTAGCTCGTCAGCATTAATAGACGGATATTCCTCAAGAAAAAAGGACGTCCTGTTAGCTTCCAAGGAAAGAAGTGTGTAGTTCTAGGTAAAGTGCGCTTATCCAGGGTGGATATCATATGCCAAAGATGGTTTCCAACTATACACGATGTAGGAAATATTGCAGAAAGGGACAAGAAAAGAGGACCGCTACATGTGGGAAGAATGTGATGACCCCTTGTGCATTGCAACATGCTTCTCATTTCTTCATGGCAAATAATCACCATTAAATTTAATTTTCTCTATGATGGTGAATGGTTCCTAGGGAAGTATTTTCCCATCCCTAAAATTACAAACATAAAATTCGGCAAAATAAAATATATTTCCTTAAGACGTTCCTATTTCCTTAAGTTCCCTTTCCTTGTTTCATTTTTAATAAAACATAAAATACTGTGAGAAATTCAAGGGAGAAATAAATGGCCCCCGAAAATGTTAACAAAAGAACATTTGAAAAGTTAATACCAATTCCTATGAAGAGCTGATACAGTAAGACCCCGCTTAACGCGGGATATACGTTCCATCAAAGTAGAGCGTAATATGAAACAGCGTTAAACGAGGGTATCTCATCATGTAAATGATGGTGTCAGGGGAAGATGGGTAGAAAATTGGTCAGGTATTTTACCATTAAATTTATTAATTATGTTTTTATAACAATAAAACAAAAATTTATTTCTTACAAATATAGAAACATAATAAACGAATATGCATATAAAAACAAATAACATTCTAAGTCAGTATGTTTACGTTTCAGTATGTCTCTTCTGTATTTCCAATTTTCTACCATTTTATCAAGAAGGTAGATTGGCTTAATGGCATTTTGCGTTCAATTTCGTCGTCAATCCATATAGAAAGTCGTTTTTCCATTTCTTCTATTGTATTATTTCTAGAACGGGTAATTCTAGTTGCAGTGCTTGTCGTAGATGCGGTTACCGATGACAGTATTTTTTCTTTATTCTTAAGAATGGTCCTTATTGTTGAAGTTGCCAAAATCAATGCAGCACTAATTTGAGATTGAAGTTCACCAGTATCTAATCCTCTATTCACTTGTATTTCAGTTTCTAGTGAAATGCTTTTTTTATGCTTTATTTTTGTGTTTTTTACTATCACCCATGATAAAAACTAAAAATAATGATACTTGTCATTATAGCAATCGTTATATTATATTAATTTATACTTACAATTACGTCAACAAATGTTTGAAACGATAAAAATACTTTCGTTTAATACCGCTGGAAAGAAGAAACACAGATAAACTGCTTCGGATATCGGGAAGCCTAACGCTGCGTGCTATTTGGGGGAATCCCACAATTCAAATAAAAGAACGTTAAACCAAAAAAGCGTTAAGCGGGGTCTTACTGTGCTCCATTACTTACCGTACTTGACCTGACAGATGTCCCCTGTCACTATATCGCTGACGGGTATCTGCATGACCTCTCCCCCTCGTATCACAGAGAATTTGTGCTCGTGTTCGATGCGGTTCTGTAGTCCCCGGAACTGTCGCTCTTTGGTGTAGTCGTTGAAGGCCGTGACCAACACCACAATCACTACTGACACCAGGATGGCCACACCTTCGATCCAACCGGCTTCGCTCTCCCCTTCGTCGTGCCCTGCTAAAAAAACGCATCGCAAAATCAAACTAGTCATCTAGCAATTTCATGTTGTTACACATGGCTTTATTGGAAAGATCAATCTAAAGATATAAAACAGCTCAAGTGTTATACAAGAACAATGATAAATAATAATAATAAAGAACAAACATTTAAAGCAAGAATCAGGAATAATTAACAAGGGAACAAATTAAAAAAGTTAAACATTTAAACAACAGGAAAATGAACACATAAGATATGTAATTTTTACAAAGGGTTCATGAAAGTTCTGGTATTCCAGTATAGTTTGCTTATCTCACCACGTTTTTGAGACTTTTTATCTAGTTCTGAGGATATAAGATGCTCTGCATTCATGATGCTCGAATCACAAATTTGGCATACACTAGATGGAAGGGTGCTTATTTTATTAGATGATGTGCCATACAATCATTGCCAATTTGCAGTCTGAAGTTTGCCACAGCCTTTTTAAGGGGCTGTTGACAAAACTTTTTCCAAGTGTCTTGAATGTTAGCCCAGAATGTCAACGGCCATACCATGATGAAAGAACCGGCTCTCGTTCGGTCACCGAAGTTATGCATCATCAGGCGCGGTCAGTGCTTGGGTGGGTGACCACCTGGGAAAACCGCGAGCAGTTGGCATGGCTTTTGAGAGGCAATGTTACTCACGTCTGTGACATCCTTAAGCCACACGTGCCTTCTGGGTGATGCTAAATAAGTAACAACCAGTGGCGTAACGTACACCCCACCACTGCGGAAGGGGGGGGGGCAGGACTCTGGAGGGCCCAAAGTCTGCCTGACACCAAGACCCTTTGTAAGATTCGGCTTGGAGCATAAAACCTGACTTTGCAGGGAGGCCCTAATATTCCCCGTTACGCCACTGGTAACAACTATGGTTAATGCGACTCAGAGTAAATTTCATGATCTATTGCCCCATCTCTTATACATTTCATGACAAAGAATACAAGGATATTCCTTAAGCCTACGAAGTATAAGATTAAAACATTCTTGCGGGTCTTATATTATCATGCTTTGAATTTCAGACGTGTTTGTCTTGGGCAGGGATCGGAAAACTTTCGAGAAAGAGCCAAATTGTAAGTAAAATAAAATAGCTAGTGTATCAAAGAGTCCTTAAATGCATGTGCGTGCTCATGAGGGGGTAAAGGTAAGAGATAATGCTTTAATACTCTCATGCTTCAATTAATATTTTTTTATAACATTTAAATATAGTTTTTACTATATAACATTTTACATTTCTTCAGAAACTAAGAGCTATAGAAGAAATTTTTATTTTTGTGGCTCAATGCAAAAAAAAAAAAAAAAAATCATTGTCAAAATATCGTAATGTTGGGAGTTTTCAAGCTTCTTGAAAGAATATTCCTATTAATAATAGCATAAGTGTTTTATTCTGAAATTTTTTGCTTACTCCAAAAATTAAAATTGGTTTTGGTTGTTCTTGCATATAAAAATGTTCCTTCAACCCTCTGTTATTAACCTTTAAGCGTGTCATGAAAAACAGAATGTGCTTTGGTCTTATCTGTTGGGGACTTATCATTTTATCAGGTGTCGTCCTCGTCACTCTACCATGGCTCAAAATTACGAGGTCCGTCGCCAAAAGCCCTCGTGCTGCTTTATAAAGCGACATAAATATAATTCTCACTCACTCACTGGGATCTGAAGTTCATATTCCTAAAAATGTTCACAACGTACTGAAAAATAATTGCTTAATGACATTAAATAATTAAATAAAATGAAAAGATTAAAATAATTAAAGTAGTCGGACATTTCATCTATTTTTAACTTGATTGAAGTTTAGACATCTTAAAACAAATACTTTAACTTTGAATCATTAACGACTCGTAGCAGGGACTTACAGAATATTTGTAACAGAAATCACAAGTTATGCAATATAGCGAATATCATCGCCCAACCAGAATAGTGACGCTGAGTGCGGTGCCGTAGGGTGTGGGCTCTGATCTCGGAGAAAACATGGATGTTTGTAAATGTAAAGTACTCTAAATAGCCGTCGAGCCGCAAGACCTCTCGTGAGGTCAGTGGAAGAAAAGAGGAGGAAGACTCCTGACCAGATCCAAGGAATTCTCCTTCAAAATTGGGGTGGAACTGAGCCAATTCAGAATATCACTTATATGATGCTTAAAGCTACGGCTAACGACAAGCATACATGTAGCCCTTTGCCGCGATGAATTTCGTGGGCCTCGATCTGACAGTCAGAAAGGTGGCAATTGTAATAACAAAAATAACAGTATCCACACATAAATAACATCCAATAAAAGGCCGTCAAGCTCTCTGTCCAAAACTTTTTGCGGAATATTTTAAGAGATATTTAAAGTTCTATTTAAAGGAAAGTTTTAAATTTTATTTCTATTCTTGATTTAAAGGACACACAAAAAAAAATTGGATTTAAAAACACTTCCATTTTCAAATTGTCAATAATAAGCATTCAAGATTCTGAACGAGAATATTTTCCTTCATCATTGTACAAGGAAACTGATAATTCGGTGTAAATGTGTTATGATTAGCTAACTTATAAATTTTCATATAAAAATGTTATTTTTAGATTTATTTCTAAGTCAGTTTTTAAAAATATAAAAATACCGTATCTTAATAGTCATTTTTGTATTTCAAAGCTATCTATATCCGAATTTCGGGCATATTAGCAGAAGCAAATGTACTCGACAGCTTGCAAGTACTTCATGTTTGATTGGTTTTCGAATAGGTTGTGTCCATTTAGCTCTTGTACGATGATATAACTACCTTCCTGCCACGTTTCGCTGCAGTGTGTAGAATATCGAATAATAGTTAATTATAATATAGATAGGGGTCGATTAGAATAACGTTGGTACTGATGAATATACAATATGTATTCGATAATAATTTTGGTGCCTAAGAGAATGTGCCAATATACTATTTGTGAAGAGAGGTAGTAAGAGGTTTCGAGAGAAAAACGGCACACATTTTAGACTACATTTTTTCAAATAACGAGATATTTTTCCTTAATTTTGGATATCAATCTTAGTTATCATCCAGTTTCTCAAACTCAAACTTCCTACCATTTTAATTTTTTTAAGGAAATAATTGATGTGTTTTCGTAATGATATAAAAGAATTCAAGAATAGGATTAAGATGGCTAACAGATGTCATCACGGATTACGAATTAAAAGCTAAATACATAAGTAGCAAAACAAAAATACTGTTATACCAGACTCTAGTAAGATCAACTGTTTCATACGGCATTGAATGCAGGACAGTTGACCAAGAAGACGAAGAGAAACAGATGACTTTCGAGATAAAAATCTTTGGTGCAGTTATAGGCAACGGAATCTGGAGAATACAATACCAGGTGTATGCAAATGAAATGAGACTATTTTTTTTTTAAAAAAAAGCACAATAAATTTGCGAAAACTGTTAATATTTCTTTATTCGAAATTAATATCAATCGCTAGCTACACATTTTCCCCATCTTTCGGGCAATTTGTGAATACCACGCCAAAAAAATGATCGGTCTTTTGAGGCCAGCCAGTCATCAAGCCAAGATTTGACGTTTTCGTAAGAAGTGAAGCACTGGTCAGCCAATGCGTGTCCCAATGATGCAAATAGGTGTTAATCGAAAGGAGCCTATCTGGCGAATGCCACATGCGCTAAAGGCTCCCAGCCGAGCGCCTTAACGATGTCCTTGGTCGGTTTAGCACGCTGGCTAGGTGCGTTGTCATCAAGGAAAATCCCTTTGTGCTGCCGTTTCTTGTATTGCTCACGTTTTTTTAGTATAGAATCGTTTAAATTAAGTAATTGTTGCATGTAGCGATCAGTATTAACGGTTTTGCCGGGTTTGAGAAGCTCATAATAGATTGGTCCCTCCTGATCCCAGAAAATACACAGCTTTGTCTTGCGGCCGAAGCGATTCGGCCTTGCGGTCGATTTGGACGGCTGTCCGGGGTCAACATGTGATCGATTACGCTTGGGATTCTCGAAATAAATCCATTTTTCATCGCCAGTCACAATACAATGGAGATATGACTTGTGTTTGTAGCGGGCAAGCAACATTTCGCACACGATTTTTCGGTTTTCCTGTTGACGGTCCGTTAGCTCGTGTGGTACCCATCTACCGACCTTTATTATCTTGTCCATTGCTTTGAGACGACGGGAAACAGTACTCTGGTCAACATTCAATTGTTTTGCAAGATGTTCTTGCGCACGCGCGTCGTTTGGCTATCATCTTCACCGAGTAATGCTTGCAATTCAGCATCTTCAAATTTTTTTGCTAGTCTGCCACGCTTCTCATTTCTCACATCGAAATCACCATTTTGAAACTTTTCAAACCACCTGTAGCACTGCGCACGGCTCAGAGCATGGCCACCGTAAGCTTCTACAAGCATTTGATGCGATTGGGCAGCATTTTTCTTCAGATGGTAATAAAAAAATTAATGCTGTCCGCAAATCGTGGTAGGAAGGCATAAAATTCGACATTTTCAACACAGTAAAAAAAATACAATGCATGCTGAAACTAGTCTAAATGTAAACTAAACATGAGTATCAAAAGTTAAACTATAAAAAAATCACGTGTCACGGTTTCGTATTGTTTGCATATATGCGTGGCGACATCTGTTAGCAATCGTCTCGTTTGATATGCCTACACCTGGTACAACCTTGAACTTCAATCGAAATACAGAGAACCCAACATAGTCAAAGTGATCAAGGCTTCCCAAATAAGGTGGCTGGGACATGTATTTCGATAGAGAGATGAAAATTCTGTTAAGAAAATAACTTTCCAAGCTCCAGAGGGAAAAAGGAAAAAAGGAAGACCAAGAACAAGATGGATGAATTTAGTAGAAAAACGGCTGAAGGACTTGAGAGTTAACCGATGGAAGAACATAGCATCAAAGATCAAGATGGTCTAAGCCAAGGGTGGCGAACTTTTATGGATCAACGTGCCTTTTTTCAATTCCTACTTTTAGCTCTCACTCTGTCTATATATTTATTTATATATTTGTATATTTATTTATCTTGGTGGAATTTTCAATCGTTAATAAAATACATTTTAAAGCGCTGAATTGAGCTGAAATTTTATATACAGGATCCTTTTGGATGACAATACAATAATTTAATTATAATTATAATAAAAATTAATTGATTAAAACTAACTATTTAAAGAATTACAAATACAGCCACGTTGGCGACCCTTTTGGCGACTTGTGTCAAAACTTGAAAAGGTTTTTTTCTCACGTGTTAAAGCATTCAGTTGGACTGAAATTAAAAGGACAATACGATACTTTAATGATAATTAAAAAAAAACTAATTACCACTTAATGGTTGTGATTCTGTTCCATGTATATACTTATTTATATTAATTGTAACTATTTAATTAAAAGTAGCTAAAATAAAATTTTTCGTTGTTGATCTAAGTAGGAATTGACTTAAAAACTATTTTTTTATATTACTTGTTTCTAAAGAAATGTTTAGTGAGGTATAGACGTGCCGTCAAATAATTTTAACTTGTGATTATTGGGAAAATAATAAAAATAAATACTCTAATAACCCAAAACTCTTTATTAACTACAGAAAAATACATTTTGTATTTTATACTAGTAAATGTTTTAGTTAAACGCGTGTAATTCAAA